ATTATTTATAATAATTTATATAATATCAAAATCAGGCCCTGGCTAGTATGGCTCAGTTGGTTGGAGCATCATCCCATAAACCCAAAAGTTGTGGGTTTGATACCCGATCAGGGCACATGCTTAGGTTGTACAATGGGTCCCAGTCAGAGCAGGTACGACAGGCAACCAGTTGATGTTTCTCTCTCACATCTGTGTTTCCCTCCCTTGCTCTCTCTCTCTCTAAAATCAATAAGCATGTCCTTGGGTGAGGATTAAAAACCATAATAATTAAAAACACACACACACACACACACACACACACACACACACACACACACACACAAAATCAGGCACCCAAGCTAGAGTAACAATGTTGAGACCAATAAGGGTATAAATTTAATATTAAACAAGGACTTGCTGAGGGTCCAGACAGGCACCTGGTTCTTCCTATATCCTTAAATAATGCCACTATTAAAAGCTCTACATTCAGCAACCCACATGGCACAGATAAAATGATCCAAAGTAGGACAAAGTATAGGTGGGATGACTGATCCAAGGTTGCAAATTTGGTTTATGACCAATGTTTGATTTTTCAAGACCTTAACCCTGGGAAGGCCATTCCCACTGGTGACCTTACTTAGACCATGTGAACACTTACAAATGGATCTCATGCAACTGCCTTCCACAACGGGTTATCAGTATGTTCTTGTAATTGTCTGTATGTTCTCAGGATGGATTAAAAGCCTTCCCATCACAGTTGTGATGTCACAACTGTGGCTAAGAAACTTTTAGAAAATATGTATATTTCCTTTATGGAGTACCCCCAAAGAAATCTCCAGTAATGGGAACTCATTTCACTGGACGATTACCAGTATCTATTATGAAATTAAATACAGCACTACTGATAAAATGGTATTTACCATGCTCTTTACTGTCCTTAGTCACCTAGTCAAGTCCAATGGACAAATGGTTAACTTAAAACTAAAACTACCTAATTTAACAGAACCCACTGGACTGCTCCAGCCAAAAGTTCTACCACTGGTTTTTTTTTTTAGAGATTTTTTAATGTGTTTATCTTTAGAGGGGAAGGGAAGGAGAGAGGGAGAGAAACATCAATGTACCGTTGCCTTTCATACATCCCCTGCTGGGAACTGACCTGCAGGGAACCGGCCTGCAACCCAGGCATGTGCCCTGACTGGGAATTGAACTGCGATTGTCTGGTTCACAGTCCCACACTCAATCCACTGAGCTACACCAGCCAGGGACTACTACCATTGGTTTTGATAGCAATTGGACCAACATCTATCTATACAAAAGCATAAATTAACACTTTATGTAACAGTAACAAGAAGACCTATACCTTTGATGATAAAAACCATGTGTCCTTGTACTCATACATTTTGTTATGACTAAATACTGTAAAGCTTTAATGCATTATGCCAAAGTATCTTTCCACCAGGTAAAGGAAGCTTTCTGCAAACCTCTTACAAATGGTCAAACCCTCCACAACTTAACACAGTAGGTATTCTGGAACTGATGCCTAAGAAAGAATGTCCTCTAGCCTGGTTAAAAAAAACCATATGGGGGGAGGGGTATAGGGTCCTGCACCCCTGCTCATCACCCCCTCCCCCCTCGGGGCCAGATTCCCCCCCCCAGCAGGGCCGTCGGGGCCTACTCACACTGAGGCCCTGAGGCCAAGCCTCATGAACTGAGGTGCACCCAGGGGACATATGTCCCAGGTGGTGACCCGTGGGGGGGAGGGGGAGATAATGATAAAATAAATAAAAAATTAAAGACCATATCATGCTCTCATCACTATCCAGAAACAAACAAAAAGAACAACAAACAGCAAAAACAATTCTTCCATGGATGACATCATAATCTGTGAGCTTCACAATGAGACCAGAGCGATTCACCTCTGATGGTGTCTAAGCAGTGTTAATACTGTTTCTAGTCTAACTCTCATGTATGACATAATGACCGAAGGGGAAGAAATTGTAAATTAATTAAACAAAGGAGGTCATTAGACTAAGGTGACTCTAATGCTGTGGTGCCTATGTAAACAAACCAAAATCTAAGCCAACTAGGGTTTAAGCTATACCCAGTCAGTAATTTCCTTATTTTGCTTCTGCCTCTTCTAAGTTTTTCCCCAGCTCCTATCAACTGAGTGTTCCTAACCACTTCTGGTTTGGTGCTGCCCAATTCAAACTGACTTTTTGCTCAAATAAATTCCTAAAATGTTAATGCCTCGGTTTATCTTTTAATACCACTATTAGCCTTGAATCACATGGTATATTCTGTTACATCTATTAATATCTATTATTAGACTATTTCTTGTCAACAGTTGGGTGGGGGGTAAGAGGAATAAGAACCTCTAACCTCAAATCCCTCTTAACTTCCCATTCTCCATCTGCAACCCAACAGCACCTGAAGGTACCAGGTGGCTGGCCAGTCCGGTTAGGTTTAAGGAACTAAATACTGCAAGCCTTCTGGACAGAAAATATGTTATAAAATGTATTAATCCTCATAGTACAAAATATTTTCTGTGTCTGGTTTACCAGTATCTATTAAGAAAGTTATAATCACTGGCTCTTTCACTAGCCCAAATAACACATCCAAAAATTTACACTCACATTCGATCTCCTTTTGACACACACGGAGATAATAAACTCTCAATGCACAAAAGGGCATGAGGATACAGAAGAGAAAAGTCTTCAAAAAAAAAATCTTATTTCACTAGTTTCCCCTCTACCCCTCCACTTGAGTAGGGAGAGTGGATTAACCAGGTTAAATTGCAGCAGGGGCCTTCTTTAAGGACAGCTGAAGGGCAACACCAGCATAAAATTATGCAACGCAAGGAGAAAGACAAGGGTAAAAAAGGTGCTCTGACTCAAAAAGAGATGAGGGACTTCAGAACCAACTATTCTGCCTCTCCCCACCTCTGTGCTTGGCTCTACTACAGACTAGAAAGCAGGGTGACAGTAAACAAAAGTCCAGACCATCAGCTCTTATCCTTGAGCCTGTCCCAGGTTAATTCACTAATAGTTAATCCACAAACTCTTGCCAATGTATAAGTGCTGTAAATAAGCAACCAATGAACTGAATAATTTCTTCTCCAGCACCATGGAAGCTTCTAATATGTGACACATTATTATAATCATCTTTGACTGTTCAGCCCACAATTTCCCTTCACACAGAATTTGCCTCTTCCTTTCCCTGAACCCACTACAACGATCAATGCAGGGAGAAGCAAAGACAAGTGATTTACAGAAAGAGATGATGAAGCTGACCCACAAAAGAAATGAGAGGCAGGGAAGAGAGAGAGAGGAGAAGAAAAGCTTCTTTGGTTTCCAACCACTTTGCAGTTTCTAGTTTTACTCCAACCTAGGTGCTGGCCATCCTTTCTGCTCTATACCAGCCAATAATTCTCTTTTTATTGAACTTTGACCAACATTTATACAAGTTGAAGACTTAGAAAAGTTTTCATCAACAAAAAGTCTTGGAAGAAAAGTTGTATGTATGTTATACACAAGAAGACAATACTGCAGGTAAAAATAAATTGAACTTCAACGCCAGCCTTTTCTTTCCATCCTAAACCTAATGCATGAATTCACACAAGTGAGGCTCAGGCCTGGTTGCCTCAAAAGCAGACAACCTGCCCTGCTTTTTTTCCCAACCTGGTTGCCTCCAGGGGGAAAGCACTGCACCTGGGTCTTAAGACACTAAAATCCTTATACTTTATCATTATTAACACCTTTTACCTACTATCCTCGTTCTCTGTATAAACTAGCACAGGGCATAAATTCATTAATGTACTTTTCTCTTTACTGGGATTTAAATAATTCTTTTTAAAACAGCAGGAGGAAAAATGGCAGGCATTGTACAAACTATAACAATCTCTCTTTAGATCAGAATCTCCAATACATTCTTTTGCTGATGTCCACTGTTAACAGCCAACATCCTTCCCCACCCGATCCCTCGCCAAAATAATAATATACAAAACTGAATCTTTTCCCGGATTTCTTTCCCTTCTTAATTCAAGTAACCATAACATCATACGTCTATGTTAAGCAAAAGGTTGGTAGTTAACTTAATTTCAAGTTCACATCCATTTCTACTTTGTTTTTAAAATTGGAGTGTCCGTCCTTAAGTACTCAAGTTAAGGTCGCCAGCAATTTGGCGAGCCATAAAAAATGTATCCGCCTCGTTTATTGCGGTTTATGTTATCAGCCCGGGAGAATATATCCTTTCCATTCCACCCCCAGCACACCCCATTTCAACCTCTACTATACAAAAGCATCGACAATAAAGTTGTGATACTGTTCTAAGACTAGGAGGAAATATGTTTTTCCTCAAGAGCAAGCAAAGTATACAAACAAACCTCATGACAACATGGACTTTGAGGATTTCTTACCATGGCATTAAGGAAACATCAAGGTTAAGGCTGAATGTTGAAGGCAGGGCACCCCCCAAACCACGTTTCTCTCCAGGATTTTGAGAAAGCATTAGTAGAAGGGCCCCTTCTTGTCACACATCTGACTAAACCGGAGCATCAGCCATAAAAAGGGGGAAAGAGAAGAATTCCTAAACCCAACTTCACGTTTCAGAAAACAAGTCTCCTACCAAGTGAGTAGCATGTGGACTTCTGAATCGCCATCAACACTTACACCCCTCGCGAAAATGGAAAAGCAAATTTTGCTTTCCACCTCGTCCCTTAAAATAACAGGGAAGTCGTGTCCTCCCCCTTCTGAGGATGGCCCCAGCCCAGCGGCAGGTGTGCACAGCCTCGGCCGGACAGCCCAGCTGCTCACTCCCGGACCCAGGCCCTTCGCAGCCTCTCTCGCCTCCTAAGACCTGGGCGCCTGATCTGAGACCGGCTAGGGCTCGGGGCTCCGCAAACGGTCCCCGCGCAGCAAGAAGGTGGCGCCCGGCGACGTTGCGGTTTCCCCACCTCCCCTTCCCCTCCCCTTCCCCACCCCTCCCCCGCGGCCTCCACTCTCCATTCCCGCGCCCCAGCTTACCCTCAACTCCTCGAAATCCGCCATTTTATATCGCCCGCGGGCGCCGCTTTCGCCACAGCACCCCCTCCCGCTGCTGCCAACGACACCGCCACCAGGGCCGCCGCCGCCGCCGCCAGCACCATCCTGCACTGGGCGCCGCTGAAGACGCCGCGGCCGCTACCGCCGTCGCCACCAGACCGTCACGTGACCTGCACGGAAGCTCCGCCCCCAGTGTGTGGCCCCGCCCACCTGGTGCCCACCCGCCAACTACATTCCCTCCCCGTCTTCCGGCTTTGCTCCCCTCTGTCGTCAGCTCCCTCTGTCTCCCTTAGCCCCTGGTCACCCAGATGCCTTCCAGCCCGAGGCTCTGTCGCCCTACTCTCCTAAGCTCCGCGCCCTACTCTCCTAAGCTCCGCGCGGTGCCTTCCCGCCTCATCCTTGCGCGGGGCTGGACCTGACCTCCCCCGCCCGCCCTCGCGAAGCGCCGTTGTGACTACACGTTAACGTTACCTGTGGGCCTGAAAGTGGGTTTGGCCCTGGGGAGCGGCAGACAGGAAGAACTGGCCAGAACTCCTCACCGGAACATTTCGGGGATATTCTTAGGGTTCCTTTCACCTTGGTGGCTGTGACAGAGGGAGCCGCTGCAAATAAAACCATCCCCCAGAGTAGTTGTGTCGGAACAATCTAAATAAAGGTGTTGGGTTATCTGCTCTTACCATCTAATGATGCAGGATTGGTGGGACCTCTGAATTGCTAAAATCCTTGTCGACCTAAGAAATGTCCAAACCTGTAAAAATTCTTACTAGTTTATTTCAGCCTCACGGCAACCGTGGAAATAAAAAATCTCAATGGACTGAGAAAATGCGCCGGAGGATGCCAGTTTCTTGTTTTCATACTTTTAGAATCAAAAGATAAGACGGAAGGGGAAGGGCGGAAGGGTGTAGCATGAAATCCATTGGTGAGTGATTAGGAAGTCAGGAGAAAGCAAAACAGGGAAATCTCTGGGATTGGATAAAAAGTGAAACGAATACATCTTTTACATAGGAGGGTACAAGATAGCAGTTAACGGCACATAACAATAACAATGAGGGTTTCTGAGTCTCCTGCTAAGATGGGAGATTGTGTCTTCAAGGGGTCTGGAGAAAGGAAATTACTCTGACATTCTAAATATATGTTACTGTAGATGCAAAAAGACGAAATAGGATCAGTTAAGGTACAAATTGACCTTTATCAAAGAAAGCTACCAGCCTAGGACAAGACTATCTGCTGTGACTTGCTTTTAGTTAGGAAGTTTTAATTTTAGACCATCTTACGCGGTTGGTCTAGGTCTCTGAGTTTGTATGGCTCACAAGCCAGGCACCCCCTCCCTTGTCAGGCTAGTATGTGGCCCCTTTTCCACCAACATTCTCCACACTAACCTGGCTGATTCTGACTTTGAAGGGGACTGAATGTCATGGACAGTGGAGTTGAGAAGGCTCGGGGGTGAGGGATGCTGGGGGAGAAGTGAAATAAAAGCCCTCAGAAGGGCACTGATAAAATGTCGAGGGATCAGGGAAATCCAATAACCAGGAAAGCATGAAATGACAAGGGCAGAGAAGATGGAAGGAAGCTTGAGAGCATCCCTGACTTACTGATAAAGGTTGAGAGAAGATGCTGAATCCAACCAGTCAGAAAACTTGCTGGACCAAGTACAGGGTTCAGATTTCCTTGAAGAGGAAGATGGAATTCTCCCATGAAAGATGGAAACACTAAACATATTTTACAAGGCCCTGATTAATATGGCTCCTACCTACTGTATCTTCCCACTCCTCACTCCACCGACAATACACTTCTTTCAGTTCCTCCAGTGGACCCACCACCACCAACACCAGGTTTTCAGACCTCTGAATGTTGATTTCTGGGCCAAGAATAACTTCCCACTCTTTCTCTTCCCCTGGCAAACACCTGCTCATCTCTCAGGGCTCGGTTCGAGTATCACTTCTTCAGAAAGACCTTCCTAAACCCAGATGCCCTGTTTTAATTCAAATCCCTCTCTCTGCTCAAGGGACTGAAACCCAAAAAGCCTGTGTTCATTCGTGCTGCCTGTCACTACCACAAGCAATAAGTAGAGATGGACTGAATCTTTATGGGCATTTTATTCAGATGGCTGGCGATCTGAGAAGATGGCGGCTTATGTATTCTAACAGACCATCCTAAATTCCATTTTAAACCTACCCTTGAGAAAAAAAGTGTAGGTAAGGGGTTTGGAATTCATGGGGAAAGTTAATCAGATAAAAGCTGTCAGCATTCTTGCATTTGCATCTGCTGGGCGGTGGTCTGCATCTGGAGTACAATGGCTCAGATACCCTCCTGATTGCTTGAGGCACAAAGGTGGAACAATTTATGGTCTGGAGCCAAGGTGGGTCATACCTTCAGTTCCTGGAACAATAGCTTTTTATATGCATTGATTACTGAGCTTATTAGCTACTACCTAAGCTAAAATTTTCCAACTCTTGAGTGCCCCATCTGGGTCTGAACTTTTTTGTTGTTATATTTCTCCATGGTAATTATGTAGGTATCTGTGTGATTATTAGATATATAATAAATATTTTTTAAGTTTTTATCTTTTTAAAAAAGATTTATTTAGTTGTTTTTAAAGAGAGAGGAAAGGGAGGGGGAGGAAGGGGAGAAACATCGATCTAGTGCCTCTTGCACGCCCCCAACCAGGGACCTGGCCCACAAACCAGGCATGTGCTCCAACTGGGAATTGAACCAGTGACCTTTAGGTTTGCAGGCCAGCACTCAATCCACTGAGCCACACCAGCCAGGGATTAAGTTTTTATTTTAAAAAAAAAATGTTTAATCCACTAGAGTGTAATGACTGATAAATGCTGACAAATGGTTGGTCTCATATTTGTTTGATGAATAAAATAATGAATGAACAGTATCTAGAGTAGGTTCTAATTCTGACTCTACCCCTTAACTTTGTGGTCCACCTTGGCTTATACCTGATCTGAAGTTATACTCCTTAGGCCTTGGTTTATACCTCAGTACAGTTTAACGTTGTTGAACAGACATTAAGTGAAGGCCACTGTGGGCTAGGAGCTTTGGGGAAACAGATGAATAGAACACAATAAGCCTTTCTGCCAAGGATCTTACAGGAACCGACATGAATACAAAATGAGGAAAAGCAAGGCTGCACAGACTTGTTTTTAGTGTTCATTGTAAAGTTGGATAGGTTTGACTGCAAAGAGTTCTAGGTACTGCCCCAGACTAGCCTGTGCCAATAATAACTAATGTCCTTCTTGCCATGGCGGTTAGATAGGAACTCTACTTATAAATCCAACAACTATAGGGCACTTCTAGGCTTTGCCAATTAGATCAAATGTGGGCCCTTGCCCCAAGCAGGCCAATAAATGTGTGGGACATCTATTCACTGACTAGAGTTGAGGAGACTTTCTAGAACGTGGAATGATGTAGCTGTTTTGCAACAAGAGGCCAGCCTGAAGACCAACCATTATTGCCCATCTCATGGGCAATAATCAACAACAACAACAACAACAACAACAACAACAAATCAGTATTAACTTCAACACCCATTTTATTTGTTTTCTTGAACCAATTCCTTTCCTTTACTCTTAGTTTGAAATGGGTTTTCTATTACTTGCAACCAAAAGAATTCTAGATGCCATCTTTTCTCCCCAAGCCAAATTATTAATTTGGCATCTTCTCTAAATTATACTCCTTAACATTGATTCACTCTTTCTTTATAGGAATGTGTGATGGTAAAGGATAGAAAGAATGCCTCTCTTTTTCCTGTCTTGAGCAGTTCAGCCCTGGTCTAAGTTTGTAGTATATTCTGCTCATCAAAAAGAAATCTGCACTTATAAGGAAGGATCTACCTTCCTGGTAATGTGGCATAACAGTTATCTCCCCACCACTATGGGCTGCATATCAAAGTATCCTTCCAGCTACATACAGAACTGTTTCCCCAGAGGAATTCCATTAAGTACTACTTTGTCCTCTATATCATTTTCAATGATAAAATGTATTTTATGAATTGAGGTTCTAGGTAATTAATTATCTGGTTGGGCCACCACCCTAATCTGCTCCAATTAAAAAAAAAGTACTATAATTAAAGCACCCTCACATTACAATAGAGTTAAAAGTTTCAGGAGTGGGTTTCTAACTTGTTAGCTGTATAACTTTAGCAAAGTTGCAACCTAATTTTTTTAATCTATAAAGCAAGACTGATTATTCCCTATCTCAGGTTGTTGGAGGGGTAAATGATATAAGGTCTATGAGTGTACTTTGTAAACTTATAAAATGATGGATAATATTTTTTTATTCTATCTAAACAGCTGATAAACACACCATAAAAGGTATTAAGAAGCACTTATATAATCTTAGGATTCATCCTAATATCTTTAGAAAAGACTATTCAACCTAGTTGACCAGACATGGAATATTGAGTTTAGCTCCAAGTACCTGTCTCATTAACCCTTCCTATCTCTGAAATCCATCAATCTTCCCTGATCTCATCATCTCTTTTCCTTTCCACTGATTTTTCTCTCTGCCTGTAACCATATTCAATCCTCCTAGATAGTTTCAAGTCACCTTTCCTCTTTTGCCAAACATACATCTATTTTAATCATATTTCTTCACTATTGTACACTTTGCTGATTGTGTTTGGCTTAACCTTTAATGAAACTAATATCAAGCAAACATTGATAAATTTAACTTTTTAAGTTTATATCCCCAACTTTTTATTCTGAAATTTTCAATGTTTCTAAGAAAAGTCCAAAGTGGCCCCAGCCAGTGTGGCTCAGTTGCTGGGCTTCCGCCCACAAAGAGCAAGGTCACCAGTTTGAGTCCTGGTCAGGGCACATGCCTGGGTTGTGGCTTCAGTCCATGGCTGGGGCATGTACAAGAGGCAACTGACTGATGTTTCTCTCCCTTCTTTCTCCCTCCTTTCCCCTCTCTCTAAAAATAAAAAAATAAAATCATTTAAAAGAAAAAAAAGAAAAGCTAAACACACAATGAACATCTGTATACATTCCAGTTAGATTCAATAATTTTAATATTTAAATATAAATTTTATTAAGATATAATTTACATATAGTGAAATCCTTATATCTTAAGTAAACTCTTCAATTAGTTTTGAAAAATGCTTGTCAAATACAGAACACTTCCATTACTCAGAAAGTTCACTCCTGCTCCTTCCCAGTCA